GATACCATACGGTTTCACTCTTATGTGGATCCTGAGAAACTTAACAGGAACCCATGGGGGAGGGGAAGGAAAAAAAAAAAAAAGAGGTTAGAGTGGGAGAGAGCCAAAGCATAAGAGACTGTTGAGAACTGAGAACAAACTAAGGGTTGATGGGGGGTGGGAGGGAGGAGAGAGTGGGTGATGGGTATTGAGGAGGGCACCTTTTGGGATGAGCACTGGGTGTTGTATGGAAACCAATTTGACAATAAATTTCATATATAAATAAAAAAATAATAAAAAAATAAAGAGATAGTCAAAGCATTTGAAAAAAAAAAAATAAATAAATAAATAAAAGAGATCTTTTTAAGGGATGTTAGCAATGACCATGATAGCACCTCCCTCTAGGACTGTTAGGAAGATTTAAAGTATTACTAGTTATAAAGTGGCCATATATGAGTTTGTTAAAAAAAAAAAAAGAAAAGAAAAGAAAAAGAAAAATCGATTAAAGCAAATAAGAAGGGAGGGAATAGAGCCACACACACAGGTAGAATAGGAAGAACACCACACTACTCATTAAGTCTGGAGAGCCTGAGTGTGAACGCTGATGATTTTATTTTTTAAAAGTGTTTATTTATTTATTTTTTGGTGGGGGGGGAGAGAAAATGTGAGCAGGGAGGGGCAGAAATAGAGAATTCTAAGCAGGTTCCACGCTATCAGCACAGAGCCCAATGCGGGGTTCAAACCCAGAAACTGTGACGTCATGACCTGAGCTGAAATCAAGAGTTGGACACTAAATCAACTGAGCCACCCAGGTGCCCTAACATTGTTAAATTTAAATGTAGAGATAGGAAGTTGAGACAAGGTGGTATCTTGACAACAAGGGTATTTATTATAGGTTGGTGAAAGAGCTTGAGGAGAACAGCAACATTTGGAACACAGACTGAGAAAATTAGAACAAACTCAAGCAAAAAGAAAAAGAAAAAAAAAAAAAGAAGACAGGCAGCTGAGTGGATTCAACTAAGATTGATAACCACAATAAATTGATGGTTTCAATCAGAATGGTCGGGCTATTTTCTCCAAACACCTCAGCCACCTCACAAAGATGGTAAAGACTGGTCAGCTTATGTTCATAAAGTACTTGGAAAAAAATGTGATGAAGTGTGATTATAAATTAAAAAATAACAACATTCAACTTGTGCATATTTGATATTTTCATTCTCCATATAGTAAGTTTTTTGGTTGACATTATCACAATCCTTTTACTCCATTTTTATCTGAATAATCTTCAAAGTACTTTATAAACTTCACAGTTACACCAACACGTAAGTTACATTTATATTTGTATGTGCAGATCACTTCACTCCAAAAAAAGTCATGTGCAGAAAATGAAAAACATGTTACCCAATTTAAGCTTCAGTAAGCATATTAAGAAAGAAAGCTGTAGTTATACAAATCAGAATTTGCCAAAATATCAACAGAAGGTATAAAAGAACAAAGCTTATTATGATTATGATCTAACCCTGCATATTATATCAATTCCCCTACTTCTTCAGAGAATTATTTTACTAGTTCTTATAGAGAATACACAACAAAAAATATGGTACCACTCTCAAAAAGACTTCTGTTCAAGATGACAAAATCTACAGTAAGAGCAAAAAAGTTATTTAAGATACCACTTTAAAACATAATACACTTCAATAAAATACCTCCCAAGATGCAAACAAGTAATATAATTAAGATATTTGGGGGCGCCTGGGTGGCGCAGTCAGTTAAGCGTCCGACTTCAGCCAGGTCACGATCTCGCGGTCCGGGAGTTCGAGCCCCGCGTCAGGCTCTGGGCTAATGTCTCAGAGCCTGGAGCCTGTTTCCGATTCTGTGTCTCCCTCTCTCTCTGCCCCTCCCCCGTTCATGCTCTGTCTCTCTCTGTCCCAAAAATAAATAAACGTTGAAAGATATTTGGGGAGATAGATGACTCACCAGAAGAAAAAAAAAAAAAAAACAAAAAACTGCTATTTACCTCAATGCATAATGAAGGGACTGGACTGTTTGCTCTAAAGCCATCTAAGCTACTCCAGCTACTATCCTTATTAAGAAACTGGTAGAAAAGATAAAAGCTGTATACAAACTCAGTATCAATAATCCCAAATATAACCCAATTTTATTTACAATCACAGCATACCCATCCCAACAAGGCGACCATGCATCCCTACTATGCAAGTATATAAAAATCCTACCTGCTGGTTATAATCTCGCAGTTCACTTTCCATCATTGCTAACTTTTCTTGTAACTGGTGGACTTCCTCTTGAAGTTCTTGAATTCTGAAACACATTTATAACTAGTGCCAATATAGTTTTGTTGAGAAATACAAAATAACAAGAAATGAAACTAGATGTGTTGTCCTATAAATTCTCTACTTTCTATTTCTCAGTAAAGTATGAAGTGCTGTGCCAAAGGGTTCCCAAGCACAATATAATCAGAGTAACATTATCTTGCCGATTTAATTTTATATTCTAAGAATGCATAAAAAAATCCTGAGCGGTAAATAATTTGTAACCAGATACATTATGCCTACTATTGCATTTTGATCCTTAAAACTCTTTGAGGGGCGCGTCTTGGTGGCTCAGTAAGTTGGGCGTCTGACTTCAGCTCAGGTCATGATCTCGTGGTCTGGGTCTATGGGTTGGAGCCCTGCATCGGGGCTCTGTGCTAACAGCTCAGAGCCTGTAGCCTGCTCTGGATTCTGTGTCTCCTCCTCTCTCTGCCCTCCCTGGGTCACACTCTGTCTCTCTCTCAAAAATAAACATTAAAAAAAAAAAAACAAAGAACAACAACAAAACTCTTCGAGGTACTGCTGTCAATTCTTAGGTTCAAGAAACTAGAGGGTGTAGTCCAGAATTCACAATATTATTAAGTGAAATAAGGGATCAAAGTGTGTTTTCTGAATGACCCTGTATTTTCTAATGAACTACCCTGCAATCCTGGAGAAGAAAAATATTGAGAAATACTACAATTTACCAAGTATCTACAGCAAAAACCTACTGCTTTCTGGAACTTGTTAATTCTAACAAAATCAAGGTTTGTCTAAATTATCTGAATTGTACAACTGCTCAAATGTATTTGTACTATATCAAACTTTGCCAAACATTAACATAAATATGACATAACCACTTTCATACTGCAAAAATAAAGCCTGAAGCCAGTTCTGCTTTTAAGAGATATTTTCCATGGAGTAGAGTCAGTGAGGCTGGACATACCCTGTCCCTGCTGTTACTGGAACCAACATTTCCTGCTTATCTAGGTTTAGAAGAGTATGTATGCAACTGCACTCATATATATGCACATGAATGACTCTGCATACAAGCTATGTATACGTGCAAATGAAAACAAACAAGATGTTTAAGAGACTAATGCCACCCACGATGGTTTGATAGAAAAGAAACGTTTTAAGGAGAAAAGATAATGACAGAAAATGACATATATGCAGACCAAAAGCCTCCTTAAATATACTAACAGGCTGTCTGGGAAGTCCTAGGTTACAACTGTAACAGAAAAACAAAACACAAAATACTACACAATTAAGGTCAGATAATTATAGTTATGTAGCACTGCATAAGAATAACTAAGAGATCCTAATTAGTACCTCAGTAATGTTCCTTTGGGTTGTTATATTGAGATTAATAAAGTGAAAAAACTCCTGCATACTTTTTACATAATCTAAAAAATAAAGTTATCTGCACTAACCATTTCTACTAGTATAGTACGTATTTTAGAATGTGTCTCCAGCTATGACCATAGAGGCTGTCACTAGTGTTCTCTTGCTCCTATGAACCCCTTATAATTTTCTTAATGGCATTCTATGTATTTCTCTTGTCTCATTTTTACTGTTAGAATATAAGCTTCTCAAAAGCAATACTATCTTACTCATCTTTACATCCCCAAAACACTTACATTGTGCTTTTCTCGGAGTTTAATGAAGTTTCAATTAAAATAGAATTTATATCTGATTCCAATATAAGGAAAAACAAGTACATAGAGTTACAGAATCATGAAGCAAAAATGTCAAAGCCAGTTACAAATCTATTCAGGTTCGTTGGCATTTGACATAATCTGAATAGAGTCCTGTAAAAGATGAATTGGGCAATGAAACTAAATATTAAAGCAATGCTACTAAAATAGGTTCTAGATGGCAATAAATTATTTTAAAGCAGATATGAACAGAAACATCAGATTTATGATCTATTTGAGATCAAAGTTTCAAAACAAGTAAAAACATTCTATATTGAAGATACATTCAGAAAGTACTTCTTGAGTGCTTATACAAAATTCTGTGGTAGGCCCTGGAGATACAACAGTCAAGAAGACTGAAGCCCTACATCGAGAAACTTATAATCAAGTTGATTAACTGAAACTAGCAAAAAATTATTTAATGCACCTGTTATCAGCCACTTGCAGGAGGTCTGCAATGTAAGGGTCATCTGGCTGAGGAACTGGATATGAACTGACTTCGGAGGGAGGGACTGGTTCGTCTATCTGCATACGCTGGCGCCTGAAAGCAATACTTCTTTTCTTGCCACCTAGAAACAAATGTGTACTTCAAAAACATTTAAAAGAAACAAAACACTGTCTTAAAATTAAATATTCCAGAACGTTATGCTTTTTGTTATAAAGTATGCCTCTAGCTCATAAAACCTAGCGATAAACTATCTCCCCCCCCTACACCCTGATCTTTAACTATACAGTGCATTCCTGAAAACCTCAACAAGACATGGTTATAAGACAAGTTTTATTTTCTGCATGCTTGGTACATATACCCAGATTTAATCTATTCCTCCACTAGATGGGGACAAGACTTTGGTAAGATTAAAAGTTGAGTGTGCCCTGTGGTATTTCCTATTACGAGCTCAAGAAATCATCACCAGCAGAAAACTATCAAACGAGAAGCTTAGGGAAGTAATAACTAAAACAGAAATGTTTATTAAGCAATGCCAAAAGAGCAGAGAAGAGAAACTTTATGTAGCAAAATTAATATATAATAAAAGTCATCTATAATATAAAATGATGCTACAACCTGAATTAGTGGGAAATGTCTACTTAATTATCCTTGAAACTAGCAGGAGTAATTTCTTTTTATGGGTAGATACATACTGTCTTGGTCCAAATTAAATGGATAGTTTACCTTTGTCAGCATCTGGCCAAGATTAGATGCGCTTGAAAGACAAATCTATCGTCAGGAAGAACAAACACAATCCACAACCTTGTCTTCATTAGAATCCTAACAAATTTTGTATGCACTTACCTCATTTTGAGGATGAAGAAACTGGGTCAAAAGTATTTAAATGACTTGTTTCTAGTTACACACCTATACAAGGCAAACCATTATCTCCTTCCCTTACCTCCTGGTTTTTCTCCTTGGTTGCTCCTTCTCAGCTTCTTACAAAGACCCTCTCCTTCCACTGTCCAAGGAAGTTAAATGCCAACTTCCCTAGGGTCTGTCTTTGGTTCTCCTCTCTTCCCAGTCTATACAATCTCACTAGCTAATTCCAATTACATCCATAGCTTCAATTCCCATGATACTCCAATGACTCCCAAATTCAAATCTTCATCTAGGACCACACTTCTTTTTTTTTTTTTTTTTTTAAGTTTATTTATTTATTTTGAGAGAAAGAGCAAGAGAGCAAGCATGTGAATGGAGGAGGGGCAGAGAGAGAGGGAGAGAGAGAATCCCAAGTAGGCTCTACATTCAGGGCAGAGCCCCATGTGGGGCTTGATCTCATGACCCCTCACAAACTGTGAGTTCATGACCTGAGCTAAAATCAAGAGTTGGATGCTTACCCAACTGAGCTACCCAGGCGCCCCTGGGACCACACTTCTAAGAACAGATCTACACCACAAATCCCACTGCATACTAGAAATCTCAATGCAGATGTTCCACTAGTATAACATACAACACATGCAAAAGTGAACTCCTGCTCTGCTTTCCACCTTCTCAATCTTAAAAATGTTACCATCATCTACCCACTCATTCACTAGAAACAGAAATCTGGGAATTCTTCTACTTCCCAAGTCCCTCATATTCAGTCACTAAATTCTATAGATTCCACCTCTTGAATCTCTCTGGAATCTGCCCCACTCTTTTCTCAGGAAATCTGACCATCCTCTTTCTCCACTTTAATCTAGTTACTTCTGAGACCTTTTCCATGTTTCTCGATCTTTTCTGCCTTTAGCCCGAAGTCCCCCTCTCCATCTCATCTCTTGCCATTTCAATCCTCATGGATTCCACTTGGCCACAGGCACACCATAAGATGACTATGCGTGGTCTTTGTCAACACTTGGAACTGTGCCAGCATATAGATCTCCCTTCATCACAGTCTTCACTCTGACCAAATCACTCCTGGTTCTCACTGTGCTCCTAATCCCTCACTCTCCACCTCATCTCATGATCCAGCATTTTCCTACACCTCACTCACTCTCAATAATCTTCATCCCGTCATTCAGACATCTTGATGATCTTGTCACTGGTACTAGAGATTCTTCCACCAACTTTATGCCTGACCACCCTCAACTATGGATATGCCCCATCATTTCTTTTGTCCTGCTCGAGAACTACTGAGTATAAAGCTAAAAACAGTAAAAATAAACTAAGAAATAGGTAAATAGATCATTTCCAAATTTTTGATGAGTACAGATTATCTTTACAACTAAAATAATAATGATAATATTGACATGGCAGCGATCAAAGAGTTCCTTTTATAGCTTGTGGATCTTCAGATTGATAATTCTGCCACTTTCATTTCATTTCCTGAAAGTCAGGGCCGGCTTTGTGAAAAGTCGTTAAACAACATGCTAAATGTGAAATGTCAATCTTTACCCTGAACCTTTCCTGTTCAGAGCATCAAATGAAGACTTCACTAGGTTTTATAGTGGCTTTCTGATTTTGGTAGTCCATTGAATTTGGAAGTCTATTTCAAAGGAGTTTGAAAGTTGTTGTACACTGTTAACGACTGACTGCCCCTGTCCTCCCTGAAATACCATGATTGTTTATGAAAAGTATCTTTAATAACGCTGCGGACAATTTGGCTTGGAAAAAAAATAATAATGATACCAATAATTTAAAAAAGGAACTTAAAATAATGATGAAGGAAATAAAACTCTGGGCACTGAAGTTAGACTACATATACCTAAGAAGATACTATTATATAAGTTCTTAAACACATGCATAAAATACTAGCTGGATCTTCAGAAATAAATTTAAAAGTTTATGTGATGATCCAAGATCATCTTTTCAAGTATTAAAGTCTAAGCATGAAAATCCAAAGTCCTATTTTGGTCAACAGCTTTAATATCTTTAAAAGATTAGGTGTGTACAATTTGTTTTGAGAAGGAACAGACCTACCTGGAGTTTGTACTACAGCATGCAAATTCTTTTCTTGAAGTTGTTGAATTCTTTCATTCTTAGCTTTACTCTCTTTTTCCAAAAGTTTGAGTTTATGAACATATTGGTTATTTAGAAACTTCAGATCAGCTGTTTCACGTGCACACTTCTTCAATGTAGTTTTCAACTCTTAAAATGAAAAAGATTCAAAAACTATTTTACAGATCAAGAAATCAGTTAAGTCCTTCCATTTCACAAAATACAAAAAGTCGCATTAATTTGAAAGGCTCCATCCAATTCTTAGCCAAGCTTTGTTTGAAAGGCTATTACCTTTTCTACCACTGTTAACAAAACTGCAAATAAGTCACTAAACAAAACAGGGAATTATATTTTTTTTCTGCTATGTGGCTTAAGTTATGGCTTTTGCTCCATCTTAGTAAACTGGGTATGAAGCTGAGGGATTATGAATTCATGCCAGGTATTAGGGCTTTCTACTGAATATAACAAGAATTTATAATAAGATAGCCATACAATTACCCTCTGTCCAAGACTTTGAAATCATCCTTTTTTAAAAAAACTTATTAATGTTTATTCCTTTTTTGAGAGAGACACACATACACAGAGCATGAGCAGGGGAGGGGCAGAGAGAGAGGGAGACACAGAATCTGATGCATGCTCCAGGCTCTGAACTGTCAGCACAGAGCCTGATGCAGTGTTCGAACCCACAAACGTGAGATCATGACCTGAGCCAAAGTCGGACGTGCAACCCACTGAGCCACCCAGGCGCCCCAAAATCATTCTATACAATATTTGAGTTCAAAGACAAGGCATTAAAGATTCCGAATGATAGAAGATTCTCACCTCACTTTAGTTCTCTTACTTTCAGTAAGAGGTTGTTTCAAGGACATTTCTTTAGTTTCAGCATTTAATATTTTCTACAGTAATTTAATTTTTTTATTAATTAAAAAAACTGGGGGGGGGGGGGGCCTACTTGAATGGCTCAGTCAGTTAAGTGTCTGACTTCGACTCAGGTCATGATCTCCTAGTTCATGGATTCAAGCCCCGTGTTGGGCTCTGTGCTGAGAGCTCAGAGCCTGGATCCTGCTTCAGATTCTGTGTCTCCCTCTCTCTCTGCCCTTGCCCTGCCCCCTCAAAAATAAACATTTAAAAAAATAACAAAAAAATGTTTTTTGAGTATAGGTGACAAACGTTGCGTTATTTTCAGGTATGCAACACAGGAATTCAGCTTCTCTATAAGTTATGCTATGCTCACCACAAGTGTAGCTACCATCTGTCACCATACAATGCCACTGCAGTATCAGTGACTATATTCCCTATCCTGTGCTTTTTCTATAGAAATTTTAATTCTAAAGATTTAATCCACATATAGTAAAGAAGAATATAGCTATGAAATGCAAATTTATTTTCCTTGTTGGGAACTCTTTGACACACTCTACATTATTTCAAGACTGTCAGGGGGGAAGACTATCACATTTCTGCATAGACGCCTTCCCTACATATAAAACAAAAAAGGAAAAAAATATTACATTTTAAACATCACAAAATTTTACCTTTAATATGTTGGCTTGATTGTTCTCTCAGTTTCATTAATTCCAGGTATAATTCATTATTTTCCTTTATCAATCTTGCATTTTCAAGTTTATAAGGTTCCAAAACAAAATCAAAATTGGCACTTTCCTTTTCAGCTTTCACAGCAGTTAATTTTGATTTCCGAAGACTTTCTGTTGTATGAACTAGGTCACTGAAATTATATAAAATATAAATACAAGGAAACATTCTCTTAACTTTTAATAACTAAAAATATATTTCTAAAAATGTTAAATGTTAATGCTAAGTAAGATGAAATCTAAAAACAGGGTGGTGGTTCAGTCAGTTAAGCATCCAACTCTTGATTTCAACTCAGGTCCTGATCTCACAGTTTGTGATACCTGCTCCAAGAATGCTTGGGATTCTCTCTTCCCTCTCTCTGCCCCTCACCCGATCGTGTGTGAGTGCGCACGTGCTCCTTACCTCTAAGCACACAGACCAGAATATTCATACATCAGTATTTACTGAGCAGGGAACACAATATAGAACACATTATCATGGAGCTTCTATCCTATTGACAGTTTGTCAGGTTTTAATACTATATGATAAACTCAACAGCTATTTCAGTGCCAACTATATGTACAGCCTGTCCTAGGTAGAGCAGAGATAAAGTCAGTCTCTAGTCTTAAAGAGTTTGCATTCTAAAGGAAAGTTTCCAACAATGATTTAAGTAGTGAAGGTAACATTCAGCAGATGTGACAGACTCCTGCAGGCCATCACAGCTAAATGAGCATGGGCAGGAGGGAGAGGAGAGAGAGATTTCCCAGGCAGATGTAATAACACATGGAGATCAAAGGTGAGAGTACACTTATGTCTGGGGAGCTTCAAATGGTTACATACATGGGAGATGAAGCTGTAGAACAAAATCACTATATAAAAAGTCTGCCAGTTTTTGAAAGTTAAACACACTTTACCCTACAACCCTGAATCGCAGACCTAGAACTACATCATGAAGAGTTCTGGAAGCCATAATAAAGACCACAAAGTATCCCCCTCCAGTCTCTCCTTACCATCATCACAGCTTGAGCCCTACTGCAAAAGCTTCCCAAGCAATTTCCCTGTTCCTGTCTCAAATCACAGTAACAACTCATGTAGAAAAGAACAAAAATCACACAGAATCTTTCACTTAAAGTAACATGTAACCACTAAAATAATGACCAACCACATAATGGAGAACGATTATCAAATCACAGTAATTAAAAGACCAGAGAGGCAGACATAGAACTCCCAACTGTATCAGAAAAATCACATAAAAAAATTGTAATTCTATTCACAGAGAAAACTCTCAGAAATGTCTACTCTGAACAGTGTAGTGTGAATGGTGACCCTGAGAGTTTTGCAATGTGGAGGACCTGAACTGATGATATAGAAGCAGGATCTAAGAATAATGAGCTTCAGATGATTGAAGGACTTTATAAAAACAAAAACCAAAAAAATCCACCCATTTCTTCACTGTAACACGAAGTTCAATAGAAACTAGATAAATGGGATTAAGGATCACACAGGTTTAGAACTGTATTTTCATCTTTACCTGAAAAGTTTTTCTACCAAAGGTAAACACTCCACTGTCAGAGTCTGGCGGTATCCCAACTGATCCAATCTTTTTCTAATATTAATATACTTTCTTTCTGCAGCTGTAGTCATCTTGTCTTCCAAAAGTAGTTTTATTCACTCCCCAAAACTAAAGCCCTAAAAGAAAGGAGTAAAACATTACTGTTATTATTACTGTGTCATGGTAAGAAGGAAAGATTATTTTAATATGAATCAACTACTTTTTGTTTCTCTTCAGGTAGGCAGCCTTCTGGAATATTTAGATTGGTTTAAATGCAATGCTTATGATAGTCACATTGCTGCACTAAAATAAATCTCTCTTTATAAGCTTATATGTAAAAGTTAAAAAAATAAAGAAGAAAACAAAGAAGAATATTTTCCCAAACCTGAGGTAGGCAGAGAATCTTTCGAGAAGCCTTTTTTGAAAGCACTAAATATAAAAGAAAAACCTGATAAGCTTTTAGACTTCATCACGTTAAAAATGTCTGCTCATCAAAATATTCCATTAAGAAAACAAAACAACAAATGAATGGGAGAAAATATTCATAGTATCTGATAAAGGATTTATATATGAGGTACATAAAGAACACTTACAGTTCAATAATAAAGCCCATCCAAAAGAAAATGGGCTAAAGACTTGAATAGGCACCTTGCAAAAGGTAACTGAATGGGAACGATCATAGGAAAAGGTGCCCACCACCTTTAGTTACCAGGGAAATACAAATTAAAACCACAATGAGGTATACAATTTCACCCATACTAGAATGGCTAAAATAAAAAGCACAAGACCAAATGTTGTCAAGGATTTGGAGCAATTGGGATCTTCACACTGCTGACAGGAATGTAAAATCACTGTGAAAAAAAGTCTGGCAGTTTCTTATAAACAAACTTCTACCCTGTAACTCTGTAATTCTATTGCCAGGTATTTACTCAAGGAAATGAAAATAAACATCCACAAAGAGACTCTACAAGAATATTCATAACAACTTTACTCATAATAGTCCCAGACTGGAAACAACCTATATATGTCCATCAACAGCAGAAGTATAAATAAACTATGAGGTATTGACACAATCCTACTCAGGAATGGAACAGAAGGAATTTACTGATATATGTCAACCACATGAATTAATTTGGACATTTGAGCAATGGAAGCCAGACACATATACTGTATGGTTCTATTTACATGAAATTCAAGAACAGGCAAAATGAAACTATGTAGATAGAAATCAGAACAGCTGTGGGCTGGGTCAGCCTGGGTCAACAGAGTGAGTGGAGACTGGCTGGAAGGTTTAAAAAGGAACTTTCTGGGGTGATGAAAATATTATGTTAACTGGGGTACCAGTTACACAGGTGTACTGCATTTATCAAAGGTTTTCAAATAGTACACTTGAGATCTGTGCATTTCACCATGTAAATTTTACTTCCATGAAAAAAGACACAAACACATAAAGTAGTTCTACACATATTTTTATCCTTGCCTTTTTCAATGCTTATGAATATATTCTCTATCAATCTGCCCTAAAATGGAGTTATCCAAAGATTGCTTGTGTAGAACCTTTGCTCTTTTCTAACCTTCACCAGGTAAACATAGTGCTAGTACTCATATTTCTAAGACATATTAAACTTTTGTTTTACAGCTCTATTGTTTTTCACAATTTATAAAATGTTAATGTATATGAACACATGCAAAATTTCATCCTCACAACTTACCCTATAAGGGAGACAGGGCCTACTAGACATCCTCCCAATTCAAAGGCAAGGAAAGGATGCCTCTAGAGAGTTTTCCCAAACTACAAAGCCACAAATCAGGTGGGCATTCAGGTCTCTTGAGTCCTGGTCCAGCACTCTTGTTTCTCTACCAAGGTGCAATCCTTCTTGGCCTTTTGGCTAAGATCAAGTGTAGTATCTATACCAAGCTGCAGCAACTTACCAAATCACTTCTAAGGTAGTACCTCTCCTTGATTACTCCTTTCTACAAATCTTTTCTCTCCACGCTCTTGCTAACCTTTTCTTTCAGTTGTGTCTCCATGGACTTTCTAGGTTCCTTCCACAAGAGGGACCTGATTGATGCAGGTCAGAAGAAACTCCTGGAGACATCAGAAAAACACCTGTCAAGGGGCGCCTGGATGGCTCAGTCTGTTAAGGGTCGGACTTTGGCTCAGGTCATGATCTCACGGTTGGTGGGTTCAGGCCCCTTGTTGGGTTCTGTGCTGACAGCTCAGAGCCTGGAGCCTGCTTCAGATTCTGTGTCTGCTTCTCTCTCTGCCCCTTCCCCACTCAGGTCTGTCTCTCTCAAAAATAAATAAACATTAAAAAAAATTAAGAAAAACACCTGTCAAACCAAGAACTAGCAGGGCCTCACCACTCAAATATTTCTCCTCTTTGTCTATTACCAACTTTGGTTACCCAGAAATAATACTTCCTCACATCCGGGCTGAGGCAGAATGTAAATGAATCAAAAAATCATCGAAACACAGGGCAGACAGAAAAGATTAATATCCCCCAAGAAGAACAAAAAACATGTATTATGCTTTCCTCGCCTATGGGTTGCTATCTTCCCCCACCTACATCACCCAAGCACTGTGGCTCTCCTCAAATTTTCTAGAACAACCATATAAAAAGGTTAAGTTTGGAGGTCCTCCAGGCATATGTGTTTAGAACCACTCGCTAGCTTGACTCTGGGGAAAAGCAGGTGTCTGAAAGCCAGTACATCTTGTTTTTACAAATGAGACTTGTGTGCACATCTGCACAGGGGCTCAAAACAAAACAAAAGGCCAAGCTAAGTTAGGTTGTCTCGAAGTCCTTCAGTGCCAAACTTAAAATAGTAGAGACTGGAAAGGACAGGGGATGTTTTCGAAAATGCAAAACAAAAGTTAACAAACGGCTCTAGTCCTACACCTTGGGATGCTTTGTTTTTTTACAAAGAGCACGTACTGTTCTTACTCAACAGGGCACTTTAACTTTTAAATCAACCCATCAGTTGGCAGCAGGCAGGTGTGCACGCACCGCACAAACGCCCGCGGCCAGGGGCGCGGGAGGAAACCCGGCGGCTTGAGTTGCTCCAGGACCACCTCCGGGCCGCGGCTTCACTGCCGGGTGTCGAAGTGAAGGGGTGTCGGACGCGGGCCCGCAGGGAGTCTACGCGCCCCGCCCTGCCGGGCCTCACTTCCTCCCGCGGCCGCGCGGCCTCCCTCCCGGCAGCGCCCGGGCCCGGTCCGCGGGGACCGCCGGGGAGGCCACGGCGGGGAGGCCACGGCGAGGACGCCGCCGGCGCGCCCGGGCCTCCCTTCCCCGTGGCGGCACTCACCCGCACCTCCGGCCGCCGCTCCCTCCGCCTGCGGCCGCATCACCTCTCAGGCCTCGCCTCTCTCGCTGACTCCTTCAGCCCTAGACTCCGGCTCCGGCTCTGGGACAGTTTGAAAATGGCGCGGAGAGAAGGTCCCAGCCTGCGCGGAGTCGGCGCCGCGGTTACCCCGGTAACGGGACCCGCAGGCGATTCGCAGCGCGCGGCGGCCGATGGCGGCGCTGGGCACCGGAGCCCGGAAACGCAACGGCCGGACGGCGCGCGGCCACGGCGCCCCCTGACGGCGGGCAAACCCGGAACCTCAGCGGATGCCAGCGGTGATCTTCACGTTGGCCGGGTTCGCTGACAGTCTACTGGGCTGAGGGTTAAAACACTGCCCTTGGTCCCTGCAGCGAATAAGCCTCCACACGCTAGCTGAACTTCGCCTGCTGACCACGAAAAGTCCAACCTAAAAATCACGTTTTCTTTGCTACTTTCCCTGATAACCACCCAATAAAATTGACTATTGCCGCCACATCCATGTCCCTGTAAAGCTCTGAGTAGACACATTTATTATACTTGTACCATCATGATGAGTATAACATCATTAAGTTTTGATTCCATGAGTTATAGCTCACTCCATGAAAACGTAATTATTTGCATGTCTCTCCCTGCTACCCCCAACTGTGAATTTTTTGAGTCAGATTATTTTACTCAGCTGACATACTCTCTAGCACCTACCACAATAAATGTTTGTGAATGGAATTAAATTGAAATAAACCGATTGTAGAGAGCTCGCTTACTTGAGGAAACGTATAGGTCGTCAAATCCTAGAATTCCATTTTTCCCCTAAAACTTTCTGGATGATCAGAGAGGAGTTCAATTTCTTTCTGTTCATTACTCTCCCAAGTAGGCCTTCCACTCAGAAAAGGTACTTAATCTCAGTATGTCATGTAACTGCTCTGTGGGTTGTGAATAACTTTGCAGCCATTCATATATTATCGTTTCCATTGTGTGTGTCTTGTTTGTTTTCCCACGTGCCTTAATGAGTTGTTTCATGGTATTTCTAGGAGACAGTGACTTAGGTACTCTAGATGGCTATTGTAGTCTTGAATATGTACAGTAAACACTTTTTTTTTGCTGAACTCCCTTTTGAAAACAGGGAGGCATAAATAAATATCATAGCAGAATGGCTGTGCAACAGCCATCAGTCCAGATGACTCCTGGTCTTCCCTTTGCCCTAAACCATAGTAATTAGAGGGCACCTTTTGGGATGAGCACTGGGTGTTGTATGGAAACCAATTTGACAATAAATTTCATATATTGAAAAAAAAAAAAAGAAATATAAAAATCGAAATAAAAGATATTCAAAAAGGTGGGTGAAACACTGCAGTTATGGGCCAGTTTCACTCCATGGGACATGGAAGACCAGAGTCAGGCTCACTGCTGGACCCCAGGGCCTAAGGTCAGGGTCCCTCGCACACACATACATATCTTTTGGAGGGCTAACATTCAACCTATTACACTCTCTTAGTGCCTTCCTGACTTCTGTGAGCCATTCTAATAAATTATCTAATCTGAGAGAGGTCATGTATAGTTGGTCCATCGAAAGTATGGGAGGCCCAGGACTTGTGACTGCGATCTGAAGTAGAAGTAGTCATGTAGGACTGAGCCCTTCACCTGTGGAGTCTGCAGTAACTCTGGGTAGTTAGAGTCAGAACTTAATTGAATTATGGACCCCTCAGAGAAGTGGTTTTGGAAAAGACACTGTATTTGGTGTCAGGAGGGAAAAAAACCTCTCATCTGGTGTCAAAAGTGTTGTGAATAAAAATAACTCACCAGGAAACAAGTAGGTATGTGCAGATAATGTTTAGGAGAAACTTAACAGAGATAAGTTGAGGGTTTTTTTTCAGGTTTCTTCTCTGTATTTTATTTTTCTTTTTAAAATATTTTTATTTTTGAGAGAGGGAGAGAGTGCACAAATGGGGCAGGGTCAGAGAGAGAGAGAGAAAGAGAGAGAGAGAGAGAGAGAACCTAAAGCAGGCTCCTCACTGTCAGCACAGAGCCTGATGCAGGGCTTGAACCCAGGAGCCATGAGATCATGACCTGAGCCAAAGTCAGATGCATTATCAGACTGATCCTCCCAGATACCTGCCCCTCTTCTGTGTATTTTCAAAATATATTCTGTGTATCTGAATATCATTAACTGATGTAGTCAATGATGATCCTGTTTCCCCTGTTAGATTATGAGCTCTTTATACTACACAGAAGACTAATGTGATCTTCTTTCTGCCTATAACCAAGCAGAGTGACTGGCACTTACTAAAAGGTCAGGAAGGGTAAACTGAATTGAACAGAGCTGAATGAACCAGATCTTCTGACACCAAGTCCAATGCAGCATAGCTTCCTTTCTTTGGTGACTGCCAAGAAATGGAGCTAAAATGTCAATATGACTCCTAGCTAATTCAGGTCCCTTTATTTAAGCAGCAGGGACTCAGTTTCCCTATTGCTACAGGTGTGTGGTTTGGCTGGCAACCTGATGTTTACTGGCAGATAAGGATAATGGTTACAATAAGTTCCCGTCTGTCTGGAGCCTTGCAGTGGAGCCTCCAGTGACTTGGCTACAAAAGACACTCAAGCTGTGTAAGTGATCAGATGTTATGAGAAGCTGTTCTTTAGCAGCAGAGACACTGGAAAATTATTTCCAAGAAAGGGTCACTTTTAAAAGCAGAATGCTAAAGCATCTTAATGACATAGCAGTTTCTTTTGTGTGTCTACAAAGATATCAGAACTTTTCATTTCATAATACTAGCACAAGGGATTACACCTTTTAATCACCATTTGGAGTCAATAAGAATAGAGGAGTAGGGGCTGTGTATGAATGACATGAATGAAAAGATTGATAAACACTAACGTGTATTTTTAAAAACTTTCTTTTTGCAGGTCAAATATCTATGGTCAAAACACAAAGTATAAGCTGGAAAAATATTTACAATGATTATCATAGACCTAATATATACAAAGCTCCTATAACTTGACAGCAAAATAACTAATAAGTAATAGAATATAGTAGGAAAATGATTTTAAAATGAGCAAAGATATGAACATTTAATTCATCACATGGCTCTTTACTGTGTGAACAAGGACTCAAACTCATTGAAAATAAGAGGCATACAAATTAGAACTAATGGAGGTGTGAAGTATGAGTAGGTAGCCAAGTAAAAGGCAGGAAAAGACAATAAGCAAAGATACAAATAAACTAATATTAATCATTATGTATCAAGTGCTTGTTAGGTTCTGTTCTAAATGCTGGGCATGCTTTCCAGGTACTAGTTCATTTAATTACTCTAATAACCCTATGAAATAGGAAGTATAGGTATCTCTATTATACTGAGGAGATTAATTTACCAGAAGTGACGAAGTAAGTGATAGAGTGTTGGCTTCAAGTCTGGAAATGAAAATAACTCTGTCAAGGAAGGGAACTCTATAGGACAATGGCCAAAAAGGAGAATATTCAGATGATGACCAATTAAACTTTGTGGAGACACAGAGTTGCCAGGGTCCCCAAAGTTCAATTAGACCAACTTCTACAGAAACACAGATTTCTGTGCAACCTCTCCAACACATGGCCACCCCACTTACTCCTACTTCTAATGATAAGAGAACTCACTACCTTTCAAAGCAGCTCAGTGCATCACTGAAAGCTTTTTTAGAAAAAGTCTTCTTTGTATGAAGCTAAAATCTGCTTCTCCTTGAGTGTCAGCATTTTTTTCTGAGCAATCAGAAGAAAGTGAATCTTCTCCCTCATATGTATGATGACCCTTCAGAATACCCCAGATCCTTCAACCTTTGCTCAAATGACATGGTCTCCAAGTCCATAACTTATCTGGCTACCTCCTCTGGAGGTAGAAACTCTAGTTTCTCTGTTTTCCTCTAAAATGTATACCCAGAAAAGATTGCATCAGATTAGGACTGAGGACTGGGATATATTTTTTCTCTTCATATACCTGCACAGCACATTCACTGTATACAACACAATCCAGTATCACGTTAGCCTTTTTTTTTTTAATTTTTTTTTTAACGTTTATTTATTTTTTTGGGACAGAGAGAGACAGAGCATGAACGGGGGAGGGGCAGAGAGAGAGGGAGACACAGAATCAGAAACAGGCTCCAGGCTCTGAGCCATCAGCCCAGAGCCCGACGCGGGGCTCGAACTCAGGGACCGCGAGATCGTGACCTGGCTGAAGTCGGACGCTTAACCGACTGTGCCACCCAGGCGCCCCTACGTTAGCCTTTTTAGTAACTGAGTCACATATTCACCAGTAAAGAACTTCTACTAAGTCTACTAAATAAAGTCTTCTTAACTTCTACTAAGTCTACTAAATAAAGTCTTCTTACTATGGCTGATATATTTTTAATATCTATATTTATTTATATTACCCTGAAGGCAAACGTGAGTTTCCGGAGCAGAGACCAAAGTTATTATTACTTACATCAATAACTATGGGTTCCCTTGCCCAACCCCCAAAGTGATGTGATGAAAGCCACATGTTGCTCAATATGTGCTGGCTTCTGTAGTGCAGGAGAGTAAGCCCCTTTAAATTGAGAATCTGAGAGTTTATATTTGAGAGGGACAGCGCTCACCCTTCCCCTCCTGAAAAAGGGAGAAAAACCTTTGCTGTTTATGGTACACTCATTTTCCTTGGGAAGAGAAAGGAAAGGTCCTGGGTTCTTACCTGCTGGAATATAAGTATGTTTGACCCTTTAGCAACATGGGGGTTGGGGCACGGACCTCCTGCACAGTTGAAAATCCATATATAACTTCTGACTTCCTTAATACTTACTAATAGCCTACTATTGACTAGAACACTTACTGATAATATTAAATGGATTAACACATATTTTGTGTGTTACATGTATTATATACTGTATTCTTACAAGAAAGTAAGTTCGAGAAAAGAAAACGTTATTGAGAAAATCATAAGGGGGCGCCTGGGTGGCTCAGTGTCTGTTAAGTGTCCGACTTTGGCTCAGGTCATGATCTTACGGTCCGTGGGTTCGAGCCCCGCATCAGGCTCTGTGCTGACAGCTCAGAGCCTGGAGCCTGCTTCAGATTCTGTGTCTCCCTCTCTTTCTG